TGGCTCCCTCCCACTCCCTGGCTCCCTCCCAGCCTCTGCCTGCCTGCCTTCCTCCCTGGCTCCCTCCCTGGCTCCCTCCCAAGCTCTGCCTGACTGCCTCCCAAGCTCTGCCTGCCTGCCTCCCTCCGTCCCAAGCTCTGCCTTCCTGCCTCCCTCCCAAGCTCTGCCTGCCTGCCTCCCTGCCTACATCCCAGCCTCTCCCTGCCTCCCTCCCTCCCAAGCTCTGCTTGCCTGCTTCCCTCCGTCCCAAGCTCTGCTTGCCTGCTTCCCTCCGTCCCAAGCTCTGCCTGCCTGCCTCCCTCCCAAGCTCTGCCTGCCTGCCTCCCTCCCAAGCTCTGCCTGACTGCCTCCCTGCCTACATCCCAGCCTCTCCCTGCTTCCCTCCCTCCCAAGCTCTGCTTGCCTGCTTCCCTCCCTCCCAAGCTCTGCCTGCCTGCCTCCCTCCCAAGCTCTGCCTGCCTGCCTCCCTGCCTACATTCCAGCCTCTCCCTGCCTGCCTCCCTCCCAAGCTCTGCCTCCCTCCCAAGCTCTGCCTGCCTGCCAACATTTCAGCCTCTCCATCCCTGCCTGCCTGCCCATCCACCCACCAGTCAGCCATCACTGACACAATGAGTGCATTTGGAGCCAACATAGTGCACGGATGTTCCTTGATTGTGCAGATATGTCCAACAAAGTCACGGAATGAATACTTCAGCCTCTTGACAAATCAAAACATAGTGTTAAAATTAAAGTTGCAGTAATTTTAGTGTACAATAATTTTCATAAACTGTATTGTAGTACTCAACATACAGCAGAACTACTCAACATAGTGTTAACGGCATAATACACTACAGTGGAAGTGTTCCTGATAACTCCCGTTTTTGTTCTCTGTGGTTAGTTAGCTTTAGGGAACAATGGAAAGGGGGAGGGGGGGCTCCCTCTAGACACCGAGCATTGAATGTACAGTAATGAAATGCTTCTTTCTGGAAGAACTCCTGTGGCTCAATGATTACCCGCTCCCTAGACCCAGGTTTGTCAGTTTGTAGTTTGTCGGTGGGTTCTTGGTTGATCATTGGGTGGTTCATTAGCTCTAAAACTGACCTGAGGAGCCAGGAGTGTTGGGGCTGGGCTGCCTGGTGGTAGTAATCAGTGCTAATAAATTTTGAGCGCATTTGAGTGAATCTCATGTTCTGAGTGATTCGTCTGCAGAGTTGTTTGGCATTTTGGAGGCTTCACTTTTTGTGAACCCTCCAGTTGTCTGTAAAGCTTCGCTAATCTTATGGAGGCTTTTTCTGGTAGGGTAGTGGATTGTCACCATGTGTGCCTGTATAAGGAGGGGCCAGATTGTGGCTCTGGTGCAAGGTAGGCCACACACAACTTGCATGTGACCTGTGATGTGACCTTTTAGCATGGAGCGCTCTCAGCAAGATAGCTTCAGGGAGATACCGGGGCTCCTACCTTGTGGCTACTTTGTGGTATGATGAGGATGAACATCCCCTCGGCCCAGTCTCTTACCCGGCCTCCTGGCTGGTCGTCTGGTCAACCAGGCTGTTGGTTGCTGGTGCTCGCAGCTTGACATATGACTCACGGTCTGGTTGATCAGCTATCCTTTAAAGGTGATTATGGAGTTCTCTCTTGAACACAGTGAGAGGCCTACCTATTAGGCCCTCATGTGTAGTGAGTGTTGAAAAGTCCTGGGCCTTTGATATTGATAGAGTTCTCTTTTAGAAAACGAGAGAAGCTCATTTGAGAGGCATTTCATTACATTCAATGCTGTTTATTTTTTTTTTTTTTTACCTAATGCTTCAGTTAACTTAGCAGTAAATAGAAACAGGGGTGTTATGCAACTGTTGTGGGTTGCATTCTGGGAAAGGTCATCTGTAGTTGGCCTAGAGGGACCTGGATAAGTCTAACAGGCTTCCTGCTCCCCAACTATGGGAAACTCAACTTTAACCACTGCACTGTGCTGGCTTTTATAGGACATTTTCCCCTGTGCACCGAAAATCAAGTGTTCCCCCAATTTTTTTTGATCTTTGTAAAATGATAAATTCCCTTTCCTGAACACATACACGCAAAAAAATATAAAAAATAATAAATTCCACTTACTTTGGCTGTGTGGATGTGGAGAAAGGGGACGTGTTTACTGGTCGCCCGTGCGTGAAGCTTCCAGAGGCAGTTGCGGGCACCATTCAAGCATCGCGAGTTGCCACAAATATATTTTCAATTATTTGTTCTATGTATTTCCAATGCAGTTTTATTTTTTATTTTTTTTTATCGTATAGATGCATATTTGTGTCCTTTACAATATGTATGCATTAGAACGTTCATAATGTTCCATGGAACTGTGATACATGTGTCAGTAATGTGTCCACAATAAATGTTTATTGTTGCAATATTACTTGTTCAAAATTCACTAAAATTACAATATGTACAGTTTCACACACTATTTACACAGTAACTCATTATTACACACTTAGTACTCGGAAGTGAGAGATAATCAAAGAAACAGTTGATGGTACACAGCGCGACTTCGCTCTCAATGCACCAGGTACAAACAGAATTTTGCTTCCTGTTTCTTTGTTCTGTGTGCTTGCAAATAACACATTGATGTACACCCTTGGCTTTAGTACCTGTAGGTGGTATGTAGCCAAAATTGTAAAGTGTAAGATACTGTAGTCTTGAAAAGATTGCTTTGTAAGGTATTCTGGAAGAGATTCAGCCATTCTGGAAGAGTCAGTCATTCAGAAAGAGATTCAGCTATTCTTGTCAAGATCGATGGAAAACACCACCATGGAAGCTGCTAACACTGTTCATCTATGCTACTTGTATCAGATGCATCATCACTGAACCCAGAAAATGATTCATCTATGTATTGTCTATAAAAAAATTGGGGATAAGACGGGTGAGCATGGGTGGCGCTCGGCTACAACTGGATACGCTTGTTGTGTCATCCTCATCGGTGCTGTATCACTTGCATCCGACCCTTGTGTTATTTCCTTATTGTGCCTAGTAGCAGGCACAATAAGAAGCTAACAACCAGGTTTGTGCCTAGCTTCATCAATATCATGACACTTGTGTTCTTCAAAAGATAAGGTCTGAATTTCACTGACGGAGAGTGATCTTTCAACACCACGTCCGACCGGTGTTTAGGAGCCAGAGGCACGTACTCCACCCTTGGTTGCTCATTCAGAACTGATCCTGCCAGCAGCCTTAGGGAAATCTGGAAATTTTTTCAAGATGGCTGCCTCTCACTGGAGGTCTCAGGAGTCCATTTTGTACCCAACCTACCATGCTCGCTTTTCGACTGTGTATGAAAAATAAAAAAATACTTTGTTGTGTGGTGCAGAAATGGGCAAATGGCATTTGTTGTTTGGCACAGTGCTGTAGTTAAGGTGAACTAAACCAGGTTGTCTGCTACAGCATTTCCTTCATATCATTAAATATATGTACCTTAACCCTTAACATGCTAGGGGTATAATATCCTTTCTTCCCCACAGGCGCATGTAATTTTGAAAAAAAAAAAAAAAAAAAATTTCTTCCTAACCTGTTAATTTGTGTTCACTGATCATGGGAAAAATAAAAAAAAAATTGTAAGTGGCATATATTGCCCGCTATAGGGCGGGGAAGTCTGGCAAAAAATAGGCGCTAACTCAGCATGCGTCCCAGGCGGTCTGTTGATCACCAGCTGTCAGGCCGGAGTTGCCACAAAGAGATAATTACCTAATTATTTCAATGTCTCTGATTGATTTTTCATAGTTTTTTTGCTGTAATACTATTCAATAGTGTGTAGTTTGATATATTTATATAATAAAATGAGTGAATCATCGCTGTACTCAAAAATATGGTGTGCATATTGTTGATTCAATTATGTTCATCAATCAGTGAACAAATACTTTGTCGGTTATTACACTATAAGCACAGGTTATATATAAGTATCTGCATGTTTTGTTCACCATAACTGTACATCTAAGCTTGTATAGTGAGTAAAGGCACAAAGACGTAGGACCTCACACAGTCAGCTGATGGCTGCCGCCCTCAAGGCCAGACGCACTAATATTTCTCCTCCAACAATACTGGTTTGTGGTGTTGTTACGCTATTACACACACATTATATATAAATATCTACCTGTTTTATTCACCATACTTGTACAAGTAAACTGCTATGGTGCCCAAAGACCATCGTGGTAACCAGTAAACAACACCGTCGTCTGCACGGTGGCGTCGTGCAGACGACGCCACCGCCCTCACCAAAATGGCGGCTCCCAACCTTCTCCTCTTGCTGTTTATACCCTCTATACACACGTTATATATAAGTATCTACATTTGTGTTCACCATAGCGAACCACTAAGCTGGTATGATGAGTGCAGTCACTAAAAGGTGGCCACACATAGAAGACATTGCCACCACCCTCCCTCCCACAGCATTACTCCTCCCTCCATGGCGCACAGCGCTAAATATCACCACAATCCTGCTATTATCAGAACCCTGGTCAGTTTTATCAGTCATGGGTCTTCTGTAATAATATCATCGCTACATAATAGCATGAACAAGTATATTATGGCATTTTTAGGCGATGCTGTGGTCACAAGCTGAACAGCAGTGCTGTTAGCTCATGCTGCGTGCGTCAGGCTTGGTAGCTCACTCAACACTGAGGCCAATAACACCCAGGCCCACGATTTTTTTTTAAATGGCGTCTGTTTATAAGAGCCCTGATGAAGGTGTGGTGAACCCTGTGTATCCGCGGGCCGTTTAAATCTTGCGTAGTACTCCAACACGTCATATGACGTGATGCGCAGTTGACTGGAACAACTTCCAACACGTCATACGACGTGATGTGCACTTTAAAGGTTAAAATCATGCCATAAAGGATAATGTTTGGGTAGTTTGTTTGCAGACTACACATAGATAAATATAAATTGCATTTATCCCCAAATAGATAAGCATTCTAGTTTTAAACTGAAAATATTCAACTCTTAATAGTGCACAGTGTTAATATCCAAAAAATTTTCTCTTCTTACAGAAAGCTGTTCCAGCTGATGAGTTTTACTCAGTGCTGGACGAGTTGACAGAAGATATTGCACAAGGAAGACGTAACAAATATAGTTCAATTATTAAGAAATATATTTGCCTAGCTCATGGTCTACCATCACCAGATATATATACTGAAGATTCTGATATGAAGAAACGCAGGAAATCTCTCTTGAAATTCATTAAGCAACACAAACCTGATTACAGTACATCAGGCCGATGTATTACAGCCAGTAAAAAGTTGGAATGTCGCACACCAGCCAGTAAAAAGTTGAAAAGTTGCACACCACCCAGTAAATCAGGCGATGTAGATCTTACCATGGAAGTACAGGAGACTCTGAAAATGTGCATAAAAGAGCTCGGTTTGTCAGAAGACTATCAGGCAACGGAGTTAGTTGGAGATATTTGGGATGGTGAATCCCACTTGTTGGATAATCAGTCAGGTCAAAATGAAACTACCTGTAGTATAATCATCACGAATGATGATGAAACTAAGAACGATTCTCAACAGTTTCAAACTGGAAAAGCATCCAGAGATGCCCCAGAAAGAAGAAGAAAAGTGGTAAATGAGCACAGGACTATTAATGGTAATAATGATCAATTAAAGAATAATGTTGAAGATACTGTACAACCTGAAAGAAAAATTACAGATAAGTTTAAGACTGTGAATGGTAATAATAATCAATTAAAGAATAAGGTTGAAGATAATGTGCGACCTAAAAGAAAAATTACAGATAAGTCTAAGACTGTGAATGGTAATAATAATCAATTAAAGAATAACGTTGAAGATAATGTGCGACCTAAAAGAAAAATTACAGATAAGTCTAAGACTGTGAATGGTAATAATAATCAATTAACAAATAACATTGAAGTTACTGTACAGTCTAAAAGGAAAACGATAGGCAAATCAACTGCCACAAAAAAGGCATGCAGTAATGTTGAGTTACCAGTACCTGCTAAGAATCAAGTGAATAATGAAGCTAGTGCATGCACAATTGTCCTCACTGAAGCGCTGGATTTACTGTTCATACCTCCAGGAGCACATAAACAAACACTTAAATCCGAAATGGAAAGCAACAATTACTTTCCTATGTATTCTATTTCTGTCTGTAAAAATGCAACAAATAATACATCACAGCCCACAGAGAGCTCTGAAAGCGATGTTACACAACCGACATCTGAAGGAGAGCCAAAAATATTGTTGAAGGTGAAAAAGAGAAATAATTCCTGTCATGATAATAGAAATACCAGGAAAAAAACAAAGATGGAAGATAAACAGAAAAATGTTGAATATAAAGAAGTACAACCTGAAGAAATGTCTGCCAAAAATCCAGCCCAGTGCATGCTACCAGAGAAAACGGATCTCTTGCCTAAAAATGAGGCAATTAACGAGACTGCTAAAAAAAGAGGAAGGGCCGAGAAAAATAGCTCGGCCGGTGAAAATAACTTGCCAGTTTTTGATGTAAATGAAGTTTCTCCAGAACTTCAAACTCTGCATTCACCTCTAGAACAAGTTTATACTTTACCTGAAAAAGATGTACCAGTAATATCACCGTGTAAAATGAGAGGAATGCCAAAGGCTACTATTTCCAATCTTGAAACCCAGCAATCACAAGTAGACGGAAAGCAGATATTACCTGAGAACAATGTATCAAAGAGAAGTTCCAGAAGAAGAAGCCTCAAGGAGAATGATTCCACTGCTAAACCAAGTCTAGAAGTACTATTTGTGGCAGAAGCAACACATGTAAAAGATATTTCAGATGTTAGTAATATGCAAAACGTGTCTGTGAAGAAAATATCACCAAAACAAATGAGCTCACATTTGCCACCAAAAGCTGTTTGTAATATAAGTAAAGGTGAGATAACAAAGGAAATAACAGGTAAAAGAAGAGAAACATCACACAAAAAATCAAGAAATAAAGAAACGTTGCAAGATGTTCCTTTGGAGAAAGTATCTCATCCTGGGAAGGGGCAGGAAATAATGTCAAGTAATGATATAGTGGCTCTTTCCCCATCAAAGAATGTTTCTCATTTACAAGAAGAAAATATTGCACCTGAGAGCATGCTAAATGAGGGTTATAAACATTCAAGTGCATGTAAGGAAGGAACATTAGTAGCCTTGCCTGAAAGTGTTCAGGTGGCCAGTAATGAAGGAACATTAGTAGCCTTGCCTGAAAGTGTTCAGGTGGCCAGTAATGAAGGAACATTAGTAGCCTTGCCTGAAAGTGTTCAGGTGGCCAGTAATGAAGGAACATTAGTAGCCTTGCCTGAAAGTGTTCAGGTGGCCAGTAATGAAGGAACATTAGTAGCCTTGCCTGAAAGTGTTCAGGTGGCCAGTAATGAAGGACATGGATTAATAGAAAGTGTTTCATCTGAAGAATGTCAGGATAAAGAAACAACAGTAGTGAAAGTTTCAGAAAAGTCTAAAACAGATGCTGCCTGTATATCCTCTACGGAGCAAACATCTTGTAAAAAAAGTAAAGGCAAGCTGGTGCTTAATAGAAAATTATCTGAATCTAAACAGCGTTTTGTCTTTCGGTACTTTAGTGAAGAGGAAGAGAAAAAGAAACAAAAGAGGTTTAATTTTTTGGAAGAAAATTCAGATAATGAAATTAAAGAAGTATCCAAAGGAGAAAGTATGTGTACTACAGAACACAAAAGAAGTACAATAGTGGGACCTAAAGAGACTTCATATAATGTTGGTATTAAACAAGACCTCTGCAAGAAGCCATGTACCACTGTGCTTTCCAACACTGATTTAAAAAGGAAATTAAACAGTCAAAGATGGCACAAACGTCAAGAAGAAGACATTATTGCCGGTATTAATATTGTCACAAGGAAAAGGAAAATTGTTTCTTCTAGACATTCCAAGGCAATTGACTACTCCAAGATCTCTGGAAATGCTGGCCATATGGAATCACAATTAATGTTTCAGAAAGGAACATTTCAAGAGCTTTCAACGATTATTGCAGATGCCACAGGACCCGTATTGCCACCACTTAGAGCAGACTCACCAGATATTTTGATAATTCCTTGTAACAATATTGTAGATATTCCAAAAATTCAAAATGATTTTTCTTTAAAGGAGAAAGAGGTTTTCCTGCCCCAATATGGCTTAAAGACCATGGAAGGAGAATCTCTTACATGCAATAAAACTACAAGAAACAAAAACTTACATGTAAGGACACCAGTCAACACTAATACATGTAATTCAAAAACTCATATAAATGTGAAAGTAGCTGAAGATAGACTTAAAAAAAATCCTCCTTCATCATACTATGTAGATAATTCAGGTTCAGATGAAGAATTAAATCTGTTGAATGTGGAACACACGTCTTTGGCACCTGGATCTCAACTGAGCTCTCTCCGTGCTACCATCTCAACGTGGGAGACATTCCACGACTCTCAGCTTCAGGTTTGTCATTTTAACATTACTGAAATAGTAACCTGGACTCTCATGGTCTGGTTATGTAACTTGTCTAATTGTATTAACACTTTTGTAGTTCCAACCTCTATGTGCATTCCAGACTGTAAATGTTCTGGGCCTCCCAAGCACCTCATAGGCCACTCAGCTATGCATAAACTGTTTACAATGATTTAACATTTTATAACTATTTGTTGGGTTACGTCAATAAATTTGGTGAAAAGTGTTTGTAAATGAATTGTCTAGAGAATAGATGTAAAACCAAAAGTGTGTTTATTATAGATTTTGGTCCTCTGCATTGCAGGATATAAACCTAGCGCTCGTAGTGGATCTCGTTTAGCATTGCTTCAAATGTTTATAATCATTTCATGTTTTCTTGGTTATTTCTTGGGTTATAACTATAAATTTGGTGTCAAAATGTTTGCAAATAAATTCTCTAGAGAATAGATACAGAAACAAAATTGCATTTATTAAAGAATCTCAGTGATGAATACCCAAATGTTCATGAATAGCAATAGGATGATGCATTTTAGTGTCATTGGAACATTTTCTGTTGGAGTATAAATGATCCTGAAATGCGTCATCAGAACGGAAAGTGTTAATTTGCTATTGAGGAATTCTTTTTTTTTATGAACTTCCTCTAAAAAATTATTTGAAATTTAATATAGGCATCACTGATTTTGGATATTCTTACAATGCCTTGGTGGTTCCTTGATGGCTCCTTGGTGGTGCCATGTCAAGCCATGCCAGGTCCTTGTGTATATAAGTCTACTGGAGTCCAGAGGCCAAAACTGACCCATCTCAAGAGGGGCAAGGAGCAGCGTATCAAAGACCACCCTAATCAAGAATAGACCACTAGAAAGTTGGGTGAATTAAAACACACAATAGCAAGGTAACTCATACAATAAGTTATAGCAAATGAGACAATGAAGACCCTCAAGATTCACAAACAACTTGTTGGAGAAGCAATTTAAACATTAGTTTCACCTGCACACCACTAGGGGTCTGGGGTAATGGGTACCTTCCTCCTCGATCTTCAAACCTTAATTAAACCCTCGGTCATATTGGCTGGTGTTTATGTTAAAAACATTTGCTGTACTCTCCCCTTCCTGTCCCAGTACCCTTCAGGTCCCAGTTATTCAGATAAGTGCTGGCCATCCTGGACACTGTTTCATCCTGCTGGGACCATTTGTTTGTGTATGTATTCTGTGATTAAGATTTTGCTTCACATTGCATGCATTTAACTGAATTTACCTGAAGGCCACTAGAAAGTGGCCTCAATGAGGACAGAAAACTGGTGGCTTGCCAAAGGTCCCTCCATTTGTTCTGATGATTTTATTGAGCTGGATTTTGATTTACAGCAGTATTTTGGCATTTACAGCTGCAGTGGGTAGGTAGTTCCATATGTTTCACCCTATTGGTGAAAAAGCATCTCCTGTTTTCTATCCTACACTGTGGCTTCTTGAAATGGAAACTGTTATTCCTTTTCTGTGGGAAGCCCTGTCGGCTCCCTGAAGCTATCCGAACAGATATGTGCTATAGTAGTTTGGGGTTGTCAGTTATAGGAGTCCTTTTGCCTACTGGGGACCACAAGCCAGTACCTGGCCTCCTCAGAGAGGTGCAGGGAGCAATGGCTAATGAGCACTTTACATTTAAAGTGCCATCATAATTGCCATCCACCGAGGAAGCACCCAGAAAGAGTGGCAGGGGAGCTGGCTCGGGTGAGCCGGCAGCCCTCCATCCCAGTTCTTGAACTGATGTGCTGGTAGTCGGAAGTCATCTCTGCCTTAATTACCTGTTTTGGATTTTTGCCCTGTGTGGCAGTTCCAGCTGTGTGTGTGTGTGTGTGTGGTGTGGTTGCCAGGTGTCTTAGTGTAAATGAGCAGCATGCGCTTAAGGTTAACTTCCCTAGGTGCTCCGTATGCTATCCGTGCATTTCAGGGTTATCTTCCCTGGGGCATTCGGATCACTCTCATTTGAGGACGTCATCACTTGGCGCTATCTTCGCCCTTGGGGTACGTCAGGGGGTCTTGGGCTTTCCATCTTGCCACGGGTGGGGAGTGTTATTGGCTGGACTGCGCCAGCAGCCGGCGCAGCTTGCACATGCAGTGGCTGAAAATTCTCTCTGCCTGACAGTTTGTTTATTTTGTCTTTGGGGGGGAGGTTGTTTTTCTTCTAGCTTTTTTTCTTTTTGTTAACGAAGGAGGTCTGCCTAGCTTCTTATTAGGCAAGCCTAGGTTGTGTTGGGGGTCCTCCTATGCCTATGCCTCCTATGGGGAAGCCTATGGTCCTCCTCTGTTGCCCCTGAGGTTTCACGGGTGCTACTGGTGGTCAGTTTGCCTAGCCCCAGTGCCTGGGTTTCCCATAGGGCTTACTCACCCTATGGGCCCTGGAAAACCCCAGTGGGCTCAGGGCACCATGGAAGCGTCTTCCGAGTCCTCTCTCGCCTTGTGCGAAGTTGAAGGTTTGTTGCCCCTGCCTCAGGGAGACGATCGTCTGTACAGTACTGCCTCTGTCATGCTGTCTGTTTAGTCAGTGATACCTATGACCTGGAATCTTGCGGGACTTGTTCCCCACTTGTACTTCAATTTACCCATTCCTTGTCTGATGATCTCAGGGATCAGGCGGCGGCTGCGTTGCATGCTCGGTTCTCCTTATTGCAATGGGCCAGGTTGATTGCCAGGTTGGAGGCTCCAGAACTGCCCTGCTTGAGTTTTAGGGACTCGGATTTGGGGGCGTTGGTCGCTTCGCTCTTGGTTCCGTCCCCACCCCCACTTCCTTCCCAGGTGGGCGTGGTTTGCTCCCCCCACCTTCCATCCCTGTTTCTGGCTCCCAAACGTCTGAGGGTTTCAGTGTCGGGGCGAAGTTTAATGCAGGATGATGCTCGGATGGCTTCGAGGCCTGCCCATTTCGATTCAGGCACGGAGGTGGTGGAGCCCAGTTTTCCCGCCGAGGCTTCTGGGTTGACCCAGCAGAATCCCTTCTTTGAAGTTTTTTCCCTGGACTCCGCCTGTGTCGGGGGTTCCCGGGGCTTGGTGGGAGTCTGCTTAGAGCACTTTGGCTCCATTTTACCCTGCTTGGACACTTGTGCCTTCTCTGCACGGGTTATTGCTGCTAGGGAAGGGGGTTTTTGTACCCTCCTTAACTTTATGAATTTGTATTACCATATTTACCAGAGTGATTTACGCACCCTCTCGTCGGATGCATGCATCCTTTGCTTGGATGTTTTGTACTGTGAAAAAACAGATATATATTTTCACTTGTTCCATCATACTTTATTTCATGTTATTTTAATATGGTTTTGGTACCCCCTGCTCTCACCTCCTCTCTGATCAGCAGTTTTGTTGTTTATGTTTTTTTGTAAGAGTTTTGATATTTAGGTTGTGATGTTTTGTTGCCATGACTGACTGCTAGGGTGGCGCACCATCCCACAGCTGTGGTTTGTTGTCATCCTTTCTTTGCAAATGGCTGTCAGGCAGTTGAAAGTTTAACATTTATTTCTCACTATTTGGGGCATTTTTCATTTCATTAATGAACCATTGTTCTTACCGGTAACTCAGTTGTTTCCTTATGTATGACATGTCTCAGGTGTACTCATCTAGTTGTGCTTGTGGAGGGTTGAGCTTTGGCTCTTTGGTCCCGCCTCTCAACTGTCAATCAACTGATGTACAGATTCCTGAGCCTACAGAGCTCCTTCATATCTACATTTGAAACTGTATGGAGGCAGCCTCCATCACATCACTTTCTAGTGCATTCCATCTGTTAACTAATCTGACACTGAAAAAGTTCTTTCTAAAGTCCCTGTGGCTCATCTGGGTACTCGGTTTCTACCTGTACCCCCATGTTAAACAGTTTATCCTTTTCAACACTGTCAATTTCTCTGAGAATTTTGTAGGTAATGATCATGTCTCCCCCTACTTTTCTGTCTTCTGTTGTCGTGAGGTTCATTTCATGCAGCCTTTCCTCGTAATTCATGCCTCTAACTTCTGGGACTAGCCTAGTGGCATACCTCTGAACTTATTCCAGCTTCTTCTTGTGGTTGACAAGGTATGGGGGCTCCATACGGGGGTGCATACTCCAGGATTGGTCTTACATATGTATGTGGTAAACCGTGACACCTTGGCTTACGAATGTCCCTATTTATGAACTTTTCGGGTTACGAGCCCAATTTCTTAAAAAAATTCAAATCGGGTTACAAACTTTGTTTCGGGAAACGAGTTTGGTGATACGTGTATGGGCCGACCTAGCGCGTGGTGGCACTGCGATCACACCTCAGTTTATCAGTGCCTCCTGCCTCGTGACAATCGCGCCTGAATTCTTTGTAAAGAATTACAGTTTTTCGGATTTTTGGCTATTTGAACATAAAATTTGTTATTATATATCTCGCCATGGGTCCCGAGAAAGCCAGTGGTAAGGATCAAGGCAAGAAAGCCCATGTGAGGATGACAATAGAGGAAAAACAAGAGGTCATTCGGAAGCATGAAAATGGTACATGTGTTGTTAAACTTTGTAGGCAGTACAACAAAGCCACGTCAACGATATGCACTATACTTAGCAAGAAAAAGGACATTATGAGTGCTAAAATGGCGAAAGGTGTAAGAACAATCACGAAACAAAGACCACAAATACTTGAGGAAGTGGAAAAGTTGTTATTAATTTAGATACACAACAAGGAGTTAGCGGGTGATAGTGTTTCAGAGGCCATCATTTGTGAGAAAGCCAGGGTATTGCACGAAGACCTTGTAAAGAAAACCCCTGGAACGAGTGCAGATATGATAGACTTTAAGGCAAGCAGGGGATGGTTTGAAAAATTTAGAAAAAGAAGTGGTATCCAAGTGTTGCGAGGCATCGGGAGGCAGCCAGCTCACACAAACCAGTGGCTGAAAGATTTATTGAAGAATTTAAAGAGTTTGCAGAGGCTGAGGGATACCTACTGCAACAAGTTTTTAATTGTGATGAAACAGGACTGTTCTGGAAAAGATTGCTTAAGA